TGAAGATTGACATCAGCTCCAGAATCAAGCAACATCCGCATGGCTCCGATGTTATTTTCAGCCTCAGAAGCATGAAGGGAGGGAGCGCACAGAGGCAGCTTGGGTCTCATCTCAGTCGAACGATCGAACGATCAGGCCGGATAATCGTGGCTGCTCGCTGGCTCGAAGCATCTACCATCTGTTTGCCAAGTAAGTTTTGGGACTCTTTGCAGGTTGTGGCGTGTTTCATTTCCATCTGGGTCCCTCTGAGCATGGCAACTCGAAATCGACTACTCAAGCAAGAGAGGTGAAAAGCAGGCTGATCAAAACCACTAGGCTGTTCATGCCAGCTTGCTTTAACGGCGTGATCCTAGTTCCGATTCTTCAATCGAATGAAAGCGGCTGGCCCCGGGCACGCTCCCTCTCGTGGATTCTAGGGTTTTAAAGTTCAAGGGTTTAGCCTTCGTACATCTTCAATCAAGCCAGGCTGCAGCTGCAATCTGAAGGGGCGTCAGGCCTCTGATTTCCTTGTTGGGGTCTGCCTTGCTGATGAGGATTTCGTTCACTCCCTCTGAGAAGTTCAGACGAATAGCCTGTCCTAGCCACCCTTCATCCAGGCATTTGTTTTCTGCAGCACCTCGGAACAGTTGAACTATGTCTAATTCTGGCAGGAGAACCACAGTGAAGCATGGATGTGGGACGAGTCAGACGTAGATAATGATTTTAAAGTTGACTTGCCAAACGCCGCACCATGCAGCCCGGCACCTGCCGTCATGACCCTCGTGTTGCGTAGAGCATCCACGTCTTGGAGGCTCACGGCCATCATGTAGCACTCCTTCGGCGATCTGTCCACGACGATGTCATACGTCTCCGCTCGTGGGATGTAGCGCTCGCACCATCGTCCACAGCCGGAGTCTTTGCGCCGGACGCTTCGGAACATGCGTCGCTGGTCTGGCTGCTGGCTGTGGCATGAGCTTGGCTCCTGCACGTCAGTGTGCACAACCTCGAAACGCACGTCCGTGACGCTTGCCCCAAGGTGGCTAATGTCGCTGCGCCCACCGCACATCGCATAGTCAGATCGCGTGTCTAAAGGACTGAACTGAGGAAGCAAGAAACTATATTCAGGCTGCATACCGCTGTTGACATGGATGATGGGTCTCGGTGCAGTCGATACCACCTGGATCGGGACGTCCAGGATTTCCGAGCTCGTCAAATCTTGAGTGGCTTGAATTTGAATTGAAGTACCACCATCCCTCAGAGTCTGCAGTGCACGTGTCAACCGGAACCTGATTGTCAGACTATTCTTTGTCTCAACCTCCGCGATGAAGTCAGTCCCCAATGCCAGGCGAACGGACTTGCCACTGAACCGAGTGTCTAGGAGCCACTGCAGAACTTGACTGTCCACTCCGGCAACGCCGGCCTCACTCAGATTCGGGTGCAACGTCTTCTCCGCAGTGCGCTGGTAGACGCATAGCGTGGAATCGCTCAGGTTGATCATGTGCTCGGTCAGGCACATGTTGCCAAGACCTTCCGGGTCAGCACGGACCAGGCATTTCATCAGGCGGCAAGAAAAGATCTTCAAAAAATGAGAAGGCAAAGAACAGAGCAACGTGGAACGCAGAAGCCTGCGAACATAAGCCATTGATACACTTTGTAGTTTCATTATGGACTTGCAACTTTCTGGCATTTACCACTTGAACCCCTCCTCCACTCCTATACCGCTACCACTGCTTCTGCTACTCCTTCTAACCCTCCTGATCAGGACACCACACGATTATATTGCAACACCAGCAGTGCCTCGTGGACGATGCTGTGCTGCTACGTGTTGCTGCAGTAGCAGTCGTGGCTGTAACATGAGAGGTCTCCTTTTGCGAGCCCCGACAAACTGGGTTGTGCTTTGGGCCCTTGCGAAAAAT